GCAAAGTTTGTAATTCTAGTCTCCTCCGTCCAATATACATCAGTGTCAAAGACTTGGAATGAATTTGGCCAACTAAATGTTCAGTACTACTGGAAAGCTTAGTTCATTAGGAACAAAATGTGCTATTTCATCACAGGGAGTGATCGTGAAATCTCATAAAATACGCCTTTGTACAAATGCCATAATAAAAATGATTCAAACAAAACACAAAATCTTACAAACTTGGCTATTTATTCCTGAAAGAAGTCCAGACGAAAGTTTTCGATAAGGGCAACAACTGCACATGAACACTTCGGGTATACAGCCTAATAAAAGCAACTGCGCAAACACTACATTTGATGATGTTGTTGGATCATATCAAGCACCAACGATGACTGAATATTCAACTTCCTATACTGCAGTACACAACGTTTTAGGGATGCAGATTACCAACGAAAAATTGCGGCGACGATCATGGGGTACAAAGGGAGCTTATGGTTGCAAAACAGCTGGTGGGTAGCAGGCGTGCGCTGCGCTCTGGCTATGGACATACCGGGCATGCTAGAAAGTGGTAATCGGCCAGATGTTATAGCCCAGGCAGTTCAAGCTCCTTCTGTATCCTTCCTCCATGATGATACAGACCATACCAGCTGTCAGCCATTGTTCCATCTTACATGCAATGTAGGCTCTCCATGAATGATACAGACCACACCACTTGTCAGCCGTTGTTCCATCCTGAGTACAATTTTCCTCAACTTTGAGTCGTCATCATCAGTTGTAACTAATGTTTCTTTTATGTAAAGCAAATTTGTGATGTTCGGTTAACGTGCACAGAAAATTTGGGAGCCAGTGGGGATATTTGGTATACGTGAATATTTGTCATACCAGAGTTTGCAATATAGCAACATTCCACTGTTTATTAGAACTGCTGTGAAGGAAATATTTGCTGTTTGATAGATGATACCAAAAAGAACGAGGGGGAGCCGTACTTTTCCATTATTTTTAAAATGTGACTTTGATTTTGCAATGGAATGTCTTAGTTATCTTCCTATTTCTTTGTTTCAGGGCAAGAAGTTATTACAGCTCAAGAACCCTTGGAGTCATTTGCGATGGAAAGGCAGATACTCGGAGACAGATGAGACAAACTGGACTCCAGAGCTTCAGAAAGCACTCAACTTTGACCCTAAGAATGCTCAGCAATTTGACAATGGTACTTCGTCACCTTTTTATTTCATTGGATCCACTAATGCTTGTATTACAACCATTGGGGTTGGACTTGGTTGGGAGACAGAGTATGAACCTGTAGATCTAGCGACTGAAAAACTTTATTTCAGAAATTTACTTTTCAGTCTACAAGGGCCCAGGGATTATGGCTATAGCCTGTGTTATCCAACCATTTGTCTGGGTAGTTATCCACACTGTTGAAAGCCGCATCCGACTTTGTCCCAAGATGTCAAATATGTGTCTTGGCCATAATTATGCTTTTCGTTACTGGGTTAATAGTTGATAAAGCTACAGCACACATTACTGATATGCAGGTGCTGGGATGCACAAGTTTTGAGTCACAATGCCTCTGCTACTAGCAGAGATATTTCATTCTTTTATTGATTAATTCTATCTTACGTTTCACTGTCAGGTGTGTTTTGGATTGACTTGGATTCCTTGTGTCACTTCTTTGATGTGATCTACATGAATTGGAACCCTAAACTTTTCCCTTACACATATGTCATTCACAGGTCAGTTCTTCGTGTTTTGTTCTTTAGGGATCAAATGAGCAATATCTTGCACTATAAAGAAGTTTGAAATTTGTATTGTGGGTGTCTGTAGGCATGATTGACAAGGGCAATGTGTTGTACAAGTATTTTAGGAAGTGTAAAATTCAGAGATTTGAATGTGTTCAGTATTATATGTTGCATGTATCCATCCCTGAACTCCAACCAGATAAACTCCAACCAGATAAACTCCAACCAGATAAACTCCGACCAGATAAACTCCAACCAGATAAACTCCAACCAGATAAACTCCAACCAGATGTACTACTGTTTATATTCCTTGCAGTGAATGGAAGGCAGGGGAAGGTCCAAAGAAAGACAACTTCAATTTGTCAAACAACCCCCAGTACAAACTAGACCTCAGAGGAACTGGGGCTGTGTGGGTGCTGCTGACCAGGCATATCACAGACAAGGTGAGATAGACAAATACATATACAGTCTTTGTTTAAATGAAAGTCCAGTCATAGTGAACATACATGGTGTTACACACATACACACAAGGTCCTAATGGCTGGGATTAAGTGCCTTGGAAACTCTAAATATTGTTGATGTTCTGTGGTGGTTTCGCAGCCAAGTGGAAATTAGCTGTTCTGAGCTGATTCTTTCCCTTTGTTAAACAGAATAGCAGACATAACAAAGTACCACATGTGCAATTGTCAACTATTTGCTAATTGATTCCAGTTATTGTGATGAAATATGTTACAGCTATTACAGAGGGAAACCGTGACAAATAAACCTTTTAAATACGTTTTCCTAGTATGTTTAATTTTTTTTCCATTTAAAATGTATGCTGCTGGTGGTAGCCAATTCTGCTATAGTTGTTGTCATGAATTCAGGCCTAATGAGACGGGCACAAAATGCTCATTGAGGCAGTTACAGCGCTCCCTTAAAATGCTTTCTGAAACTCCTTTCTCACATTCACGGTTGTTCTTCCATTGATTGTGTTCATGTGACTTGGCTACAGTGCTGTCATTTACAGTGCTTTTTAGATACAACACTCAAAATGTTAAGTCCTAGACTCAATAATGTGGAATGTTTTCTGTTAAAACGCCCAAAAATTTTGAGGTTTTAAATACATCAACATGAATGAAATGGCTTGAATGGAATGGCCAGAGTGACCATCCACTGCAGTTGTATGAACCAGGTGATAGTCCAACAACAAAATTGCTTCAAAGAACTGAGCAGAGACAATGAAACACAGACATGACAGTGGGAAAATACATACACATAATGAGGAATCTAGTTTGTAGAATTATGTGTAACTTACAGAGATATGTTAACCAAACCAAATATGTACCGCATTAAAGTTGGATTACAGTCGCACACTGTGAACCACTTGAGGCAAAATTACATTGATTTTTGTTTGTGTTAGGTTTTTAATGCTTCAAATGGTCCACAAGAAGAAGAAAACTTTGAAGTTCAATTAATCTTTCCTTTTCAGAGACTGAAATATCAAGTTTTGTTATGTGACAAGTTGGCCATTAAGTCAGTTACTCATGATTTTGCAAAAAAGTTGTGACTCACTTTTGTGGAGTATAGAGAATAATGCATAAGTACCAGTAAGTTAGAGGCAGATCAGTAAATTGTTGTGCCAAATTGACTGATAGGATAAAGCAAATTTAGGTGGATAATTTGCTATTAAAACAAGTAACCATTTGTTTTGGTCTTCAGTGTCTGATGTGATTTTTAGGTGAATGAACTTTGAAATCAACCATTTGGCAGACTTTGTAGTAGTGGAAGTTGAGTGTGAAAAAGATGAATAAACAAACATTTCATGTTGTATCACTTACATATACCTACATGTATAGTGTTTGAGAAGGGGTCTGCGCTAACCTTACATACCTATCATGGACTTGTGAACAAAAGATGTCCACATGATGCAGGAAAGGAAGATGTTCTGTGGACTTATACATGTCCACAGGACGTTCCCCTTTTCTGAAAAAGGGGCTTAGAGGCATTTTGGGGGTTGGGGTCATCCGTCTTAAAAGGAAGAGGAATAGTCAAGGAAACCTTGTACAAGAAGCCAGCTGAAAATCATGTTCCCAGCTCAAGAAAAACAAGTATTTTCACTGAGTTTTCTCAACTGCATGAAAAGAAAGGATTGTCCACACTAGGTATGTAAGATAAGTATGTGTGTGTGGGTGTGTCTCTATTCAAAGTGGAAACTTCTTTATTTTACTTTGTTTCGATCAGCAGGCTAGTTGAAATCTATCGTGTTATACAGTGTACACGTATGTAATTAGCAGCAAAGTTGACCAATATGACTGACATTGGGGCTGAAGACTGTCTTGACTCCCAGTTTCAGTGACGTGAATTCAGCTTTAGACATGAGTTCTAAGCAAGATTAATTATAACTTGGATTCAGATGCAAACTAAGTGATACCTGACACCAACTTTGGCTTGAATCAAGTGGCTATGACTCAAAGGTGAAGCAAATGGCATGACTAGGGTTTCTGCATGGAAACAGAAACTAGTCAGTTACCATTCATTAGGGGAAGTAATTGAGGGAACTTTTATAAGGCTTAGGCTAACATTAGCAGATGGGATAAAGATGGGATAATAATATACATTGACAACCATGAGTAAGCTGTCAAAATCCAGATAAAACTGTAATGGAACTTCAATTCAGCGCACGTACATGTATGTACATGTATGGTGCTCTGTCACATGCAAGTCATGTCCTGTAGAGATTTGTGTAAGCCATAGATAAAATATTTTTGATCCAATTCAGCATATTTGAGAATTTGATGGGAGTGGTTTGGAATATTTATATCATGTACTAGTATATTACGTGTCCATGCAACTTGTGAGAAATTGTTTGCTCTTAGTAATAGCAAATTCCGCTCTGTGCATTAACAGTGGAATCTATGCATTGCATTGTTGGTTATAGAGTACTGATGTTAATACGTCACTCGCACAATTAGGTGTGTAAAAGGCTTTTAGACTCAGTGCGTGAATCAACATGCACGTGTACTCCATTCGTTTGCACCGCACTGACTGGTTCAAAATGCCATCACAATTCGGTACTCTACAGTACATGTACATTTCATACATACACTTACGTGTACAAATAAATACCTACAGTGCTGAAGAAAGAAGACACAAGCCACTCATGAAGCTTTCTAATTTTGTTCACTGGAAATTTCCATGGTGGTCAATTATTGAAGGCATTATTGTGTAATATTTCCCTCATTTCAATGAGCACCTTTTAACTCTCCCAATCTAAGTAATTTTCAAAGATGTTTAGAAGTCTTTCATAGCATTTTAATTTATGTTTTGATAAGGGTTTAATTTTATTTCTTAGAAAAGGAAAAAAATGAAATATAGCTGTCCTAGTTGTAGGCCTAAGTGAAATTTGAATTTTGATAACCTTTATGTAACAGACCCTTCCACAGACTCACAAACTGTGTAATCAAACATGGCTGCAGCGGTACAGGTACATGTAGGTGACATTTTAAGTGCTATTTAAATATTCATGCATTAAGAAACGTACATGCTTTTAAATCCAATAGAGCATAAAACAAGTTCATACATAAATCTTTCTCTACATAACAGCTGTATCTTGCCTACTAGTGGCTCATAAAGTTAGGCTGTTAAAAGAACGTCAATGGGTGAAACCAGACACCAACAAAGGTTACTATGTCTGCCAATTTAGGCCACTATTATAAACAGTAGGCAATACTTGAAAGGTCGGGTACTGGTACCATGGCAGGTTTGTTTGTTTGTTTATTTGTGTTTTTTGTTTACTTTAGACCCTCTCTTCTGGTTTATAAAAGCTAGTAGAAAAAGTCAGTCAAAGTTCGTAAGTTATGAGTAGGGAGCATGTCAAGGGACAAGTTATGAACAATGGATTTAAAAGATTGGCTAGATAGGACTCAGACAGCTGGAGTAGTTAGTGAGTTTCAAATCCATGCATAAAATATTGTAAAGGATACCCTGATGCTTTCGAGTCCATCACAAGCTCTTTCACAAGTCCCTTCACAAGTCCAGTCACAAGTCCAGTCACATGT